CGGACCGCTGCCGCGGCGGCGCCGCCGCCGCGACGGACGACGCCGCGGACGACGACGCGGACACGGCCGCGCCGGACGCGTCGGACGTGCCCGACGACGACCGGCTCCGCACGGCGGGCACGGGCCGGTCCCGCCGCGCGGCCGCGGCGGCCTCGGCGTCGCCGAGCGACGCCGCCGCCGCGCGCGACAGGCCCGCGGCGGCCGCCGGCGCCGGCGCCGCCGCCTCGCCGACGAGCGCGTCGAGCGCGCGCGCGGCGTCGTCGAGGTAGACGCCGAGGGGCTCGGCGGCGGGCGGCGCGGGCGCGGGCGCGGGCGCGGGCTCCGCCTTGACGACGGGCTCGGCCTCGACGACGGGCTCCGCCTCGACGACGGCCGGCGCTTCGACGGCCGCCGCGTCATCCGCCGCCGCGTCATCCGCCGCCGCCGCGACCGCCGGCGGCGCGACCGGCGGCGGCGCCAGGGTCACGGCGCGCCAGCGGAGCGCGCCGCCGCCGGCGTCGGCGACGGCGCGGAGGGACTGGAGGAGGCGGAGCGCGTGGGGCACGAGCACGGGCGCGAGGTTCGCGGCGGCGCCCGCGCGCTCGAAGGCCGCGTGCTTCGACGGCCGCGCGGCCCAGGCGAGGCCGTCGAGCCACGCGGCGAACGCGGCGACACTCGCCGGCCACGGCGCGCGCCCGCGGTCCGCCGCGAGGCGCCGGAGCAGCTCGCGGCCGAAGTCGCGGTCGCCGGGCCGGCCGTCGCGGTCGGCGATCTCCGCGAGCTTGCGGTCGTACTCGCCGGCGGTCAGGATGCCCTCGAAGCGGAGCGCCGCGGCGTCCTCGAGCTCGCGCGCCGCGTCGGCGGCCGCGGCGGCGGCCGGGCCGAGGTCCAGCGGCGCGGGGTCCGGCCCCGGCGCGGCCGCGACGCGCGGCGCGCGGACGACGCCGGCCTTCCGGCCGACGTCGAGGCCCGGGACGGCCGCGACGAGCGCCGCGCAGACGCGCGGGAAGCCGAACGCGCGCGCGTCGAGCGGCCGGCCGAATCGCCGCGCGTACGCGTCCGACAGCGCCGCGACGGACAGGGGCGCCGCCGCGGCGTCGACGCAGGCGAGGAGCTCCGCCTCGAGCTCCGCGACCCAGACCGGCGGCGGCGTCGCGGGGGCCGCGGCCGCGTCGGGCGCGTCGCGCGCCGCGAACTCGCGCTCGCGCGCCGCGCGCGCGACGGCCCGCTTCCGCTCGGTCTGGTTCAGCCGCTTCCGCTTCCGCTGTTCCTTGCCCGGCCGCGCGCGCCTGCGGCGCCCGTCCTCGGGGACGGCCGCGGCGGGCGCCGCGCCGTCCTCGGGGGCGGCCGCGGCGGCGGCCGGGGGCGGCGCCGCGGCGGCGGCGACCGGGGGCGGCCGCGGCGCCGCCTCGGCGGCCGCGGCGGGCTCGGGCGGCGGCGGCGCCGCCGCGGGCGGCGCCGCGGGCGGCGCCGCGGCGGACGGCGCCGCGGGCGGCGGGCTCGCGGGCGCGGGCGGCGGCGCCGGCGCGGCCTTGGCGCGCTCGAGGTCGCGCACGCGCGCCTCGAGCTCGCGGATGCGGCGCTCGTCGGCCTCGGACTTGGCCTCGAGGGAGAGGCGCTGGCGCTTGCTGCGCTCGCCGAGGAACTCGACGGAGCCCGACGGCTCCTCCTCCTCCTCCTCCGGCGGCGGCGGCGGCGTCTTGAAGTGCTTCTGCACCTTCGAGCGGACCTGCTCCGCGGACCGCGTCTTGACGAACTCCGACGCGATGCGCCGCCACTGCTTCCGGCCGAGGGCCTCGAGGCCCTGGAGGAAGCGGGCGTTCTCGGCGTCGCTCCAGCGCCGCCGCGAGTTGTCGTCGTCCTCCGGCGGCGGCGGCGGCGGCGCGCGGGCGCGCTCGCGCGAGGGCTCCGGCGCGGCGGCGCGCGCGGGCGAGGGCTCGCGCGGCGGCGGCGGCGCGGCCGCGCGGGGCCGCTTGCGCGGCGGCTCGTCCTTGACGGCGGCGGGCGCCGCGCGCGGCGCCGGCGGCTCGTCGTCGCTGCCGATCGTCGAGTCGTCGTCGTACTCGGGCGCGATGAACGAGTCCTCGTCGCCGTCCGGCGCCGGCGCGGGCCGCGTCTCCAGGAGCTCGACGCTCGAGTCGTCGGCGGCGGCCGGCGGCGGCGGCGGCGGCGGCGGCGGCGGCGCGGCCGCCGCCGAGGGCGCGCGCGGCCGCGCCGCGGGCTCCGGGACGCGCGTCGCGGCGACGACGACGCGCGAGGGGCCGTTGGGGTCCGCGCGGCGCCGCGCGGCGGCGGCCCCGGCGGCGGCGGCGCCCGGCGCGGCCTTGGGCGGCGCGGCCTTGCGGA